GTCGGCGTTGGGGGTAGGGCGGGGCATCGGACGGGGCGGGTTCGCTGGGTTTCGAGGTTTCTATTTCACTGGAGAGGCTTTTGCCTTCTTCTTTTTTTACAAAGCCAGGCGAGATCATCTCAAAAAAAGGAAAAGGATGAGACGAGGCCGAGCGAAGCTTAGTTGGGGGTGAAACGAAGGCAGCGGAGCAGGCGGCAGCCGATATCGCTTCGTCATTTTTAGTTGTAGAGATAGAGATGGGTCATCTGTTGGTTTCTAACTGAGATTGCTTGGTTTAACAATAAAAGAACTCGATAGTCTAGATTAGATGATTAGTTTCCAATCAATGGTCCAATTCAACTTCTCAGTTGGAAACCATGAAGGAGGGAGTGAAAAAACTATGACTTTTAAAATGCATGAAGGAGGAAATGTAACACCCCTGGTGTTAGGCTTGCCTAATTTCGCTTACATTTCATAAACATGAGCACCATTCATCCATTCATTAGCTCATATCACATAAAACATGTTATCGAAACATTGCAACATGCTGTATATGTCATGAGTGTTGTTTTAAATTATGAAATGAATGGAGTGCAGCACCCAAGTACAACATGTGCAACTCACTTTAGTGGAACACAGTTAGTTAGTACGATGCAACAAGATTATGAAACATGTGAAACATGGCTATGAAACAAAAGTAACAATTCAATTGTTTTTCATTGTTTTAGTGCATTCAGTGCTTGATTCTTGTGTGACCAATATGTGATATGGCTAAATATATTTTTAAACAACTTAGCTATACTTAGAAGGTCATTAGGAACAATGTTCATGTTGGTCATTTTGCCTAATTAAGTTTTCAAGTTTTGGTTTGACTAGTGTTGACCTCTAGAGCTCTTTGGTTTGACTGTTTAAAAAGTGCAACTTAGAGTCGATGCATGCCTGAGCAACCTAAAGCAATGTTGTAGCAAATTTCATAAGGAACAAAAGCTATTTTATGACCAACTCATGAAAATGTGCACAGCATGCTCAAAAAGGTCCCACTAGTTAGTATTGAAAGCTGGTTCAACACTTGTAATGTTTGGAGCTCTGTATCTCCCTAACCAGGCCGAACCAACTCGAGCTCCAATTGTGAAAATTGTAGCCCGCGTGTAGATCTACAACTTTGTCAACTACACCATTAGCTAGATCGTCACGGTTTAGGAGTTATAGATCGACGAAAATGCGCTGTCAGTCGTCGGTGGGGTGACTGAATAGAAGCTACAGTGCCGACCGATTTTAGAGCTTCATCGCCATGTTCTGCCCTGAGCGCGCCCTGAGCTTCATCGCACACCAAATGAAGCCCTGAGCGCGCCCGTGAGTCCCAGCGTCGCATTCCATTCCTTGCTTTCGCCCTCACAGTTGCAAAGCCGCCGCCGCTCTGCCATTGCATTGCCGAGCAGCTCCGCCGTCGCCTAGCTCTATCGCCGCCGCAAAAGCGCGACCTCCAGCTCGGCTGCAGCTCCGCCGTGTCCTCCTCTACCCCGTCGACTGTCTAGCCGTGCCACCCGTGTCTTAGGTGAGGGCCAGTGGCCGTTTTTCCACCGCCGTCTCCATGGCCGCGCCTCACCGGAGCAGAGCTCACCGTGGCCAACCACCACCGAGCCCTTCTCGTCCTACTTTATCTGCTTGGTTAGCTCCGTAGTAGCCTCGTGAAGCTCATGCCGAGCTTGGCCGGGACAATGGGGATTCGCCGTCGCCGGAGTCCCGCAGCGACCTCGCCGCCGTCCGCCATTGCCGATGCCGTCATAGCTAGAGCGTGGTAGCAATTGGGGAAAAGGTATGGGTAGGTGCGTATCATCGCTAGGAACGCGCCTGTGCCATTGGCCTCGCCAGAGTTGTGGCCGTCGGCGAGTTTCGCCGTTGCCGCGCCGTCGAGTGAGCCGTCCCCTGTTTTCTTGTCGCTGACGCGTGGTCCCCGCTGATGTGTAGGTCCCGCTTGCCAGTGACCGTTGAGCAATAGGATAGTGCAAATATTCCAGATTTCTATGCTGTTTTGTAATAATTGTATCTCCAGTTTTGTAGCTTCAAAAATTGTGAAATAAATTTGGTAGTGTTCCTTGGGAAGTCTAGTATTTAGGAAAAATATAGTTTTGATAATTACAGTAGAAATTTTGGGAAGATTTAAATGGAAATTTGAAATGTGCTTTTAAATGCATGCAAACTTGTTTATTTTATATCTAAAGTTTCTGTGGTCCAAAAATTATGAAATTTTGTGGGTAAGCTATTCTTGCTTAGTATAAGCTCTGGTAAAAATTTGAGAGTCATTGCATGTGTGGTTTTTGAGTTATAGATTTTCCTTTTATCATTGATTGATATTTGTGTAAATTTTTGTAAATTATCTAGGAATCCTATGACCATGAAATTTTGTGGGGAATATCCCAGTACCTTAAGGATGTTAGGAAAAATATGAAATCTGTTGCTTGGCACTTTTAACTAAGGTTTTCTATTTATGCCTTTTTAAGCCATTATGCCTTGTCATTTTTGTGTAGGCTATTCTACTTATCCAAATGCCATAAAAATTTTATGGTAGTCTACTTAGAGTAGTACTATGCTACTGTAATTTTCTCAGATTTTGATGAGCAGCAGAAATATATGTTGCTGTGTAGCCCTAGTTTAAAATGAAATCAAATTATCTTATTTAATGTGAGTTTAGTTAATAATGTTCGCTTTGGTGTATCTTTGAAGCATCTTAGTTTGCTGTGGTAAATTGGCATGTTAGTACGGTGGTTGTCGTAGTAGATAGTAGTACATGTTCTTGGATGATGTTGACTACCTTGTAGAAGAGCGTTGCTACTACTATGTACAATAAAGTTAAACATGTTCGTCTACATTGCATGCATCATGATCATTATATGTCATCTCTCCGATGCACCTATGCATTAGCAATTATACATCTGCATCATACAGGATCGCAGGAGGAGTTGCGAGTAGCAGTTCAGGAAGAGCAGACCGGGGCAGATCCACAAGAAGTCCAGGCACAGGAGGTGCCAGAGGAAGAGGAGCAAGGAGAGGACTTGCCGGAGTGCGTGGATCACCAACCTAGTTCATTCGAACGAGGCAAGCCTCGGAGCATTCTAAGTCTCCTACTTTATAAAAGCAATTCTTTCTATATATATGAGTTTATATATTGTTGCATTAAGTTGTAGAAGTTGATTGAAACCGTTGATGTATTTATTACTATTCTTGCCTACCTTATTACCTTTTACCCTGTTAGGTCAGGATCGAATAACTGCTTAGCCTTGCTTAGACCGGTAGCGATCGGTGATACCCGGTCACCTACATTATAGGTGGTTACTGAAAGAGATTGGCTATGGAAAGAATGATATCCTAGAATTAACCATATGTGATGGAAAATTGGAGATCGGACGGAATAGTTGGAGGCAACCAGACAGGGTTCTGGGGTGCTGTTAGTTTCCGTCTGTGTCGATTAAGGACCGGTCGTTGCTCGTCCCTCTTGTCATGTTGAACGCATGCCTCACATTTAGCTGGCCGAATAAAGTACCTTTCGACCGCGAAGCTAGTGTCACTATTCGGGCCGGGATCTACACGAGTGCGCGTATTGGTGCTGATGGGGGTATGACAGGGGCGTGAAGAGTGAGCCCAAGGGCAGGTGTGACCTGATTCCTGGCAGTCGGACGGTCCCTGGGTACTGCGGCTCCAGATTATCCCGCGGCTACCTGAAAAGTGTCATTTGTGATCTAAGCTACCTCGGCAGGGGAAGCATGGTTTGTGTGAGGAATAAATCACCAGCTGGTTAGGAATCGATTCAAATCGCCATCGTTCCTGGATAGTGAGCACTTGACTTGAGCTACGGCATCATAGTAATTATTATAGAACAATGATGGTTATCTGGATGATGTGAGTTATGCTAAGCTAAATTGGTAACTGGATGTTATTGGTTAATTATGTGATTGCTATAGTATAGGTGCTTACCTAGATGGATAGGTTATAATAAAGATGATGCAAAATACTTAAAATGGTTTGTTCATGATAACTTATGCTTTCGCAAAAGAGTCAGCTAGCCCACTAAAGAAAGCCTTGCATAATCCTTGGTGTCATTTTATTTTGGTTTAAGACGGGTAAGTCTAGCTGAGTACCTTCTCGTACTCAGGGCGTTGTTCCCATTGTTGTTGCAGATGGTCAAATGTACTACGGCTATTGCATTAACTGCCTGTATCCGGCGATGGGTGACAACTAGGACCAAGGGCAAATGGTCACTCCGTATTTCTCATCTGATGCTTTTGTTGGAGATGACTACCTGCTGGCACTGTATCTGAATCAAAAGTGTGTGTGTGGCTTTAAAACTATTTGCTTCCGCTATTTCAGTTCAAACTTGGTATATAATAACTTTATGTTCCAAACTCTGATGTATCAACTGTCGTTGCGAACTTTATGTAACGTGTGACGGTACTTGCTAAACTTGTACGATCTTGGTTTGTATGTCGATTGGTTTGAAATCCTTCGTGGTTTCACGGACTACCGGATTATACGGGTTTAAGTTTGCTAAATTATCTGCTTCGGCGTAAGGTTTTCTTACTTAATCTCGTATAATTGGTCAGTTCTGTTACAGGAAAAAATGATAACTTTTAAAATGTATTATTCACCCGTAACAACGCACAGACACCCTTCCTAGTAAACTACAATGTGCATGATAAAGATCTTGAAATATGTTTTATCTAATTAGATTTATAGATTTCTTAATATGTTCGTCTAAACCATAAGCCACATGCATCGTTGTAAACATGAAAAAAACTTTATTGCCCCGTGCAACACACGGGCATATATCTCGTAGATATAGAAATAAATCTATACTAAAGGAGTGAAGGAATTGAAATTATTTTTTATCCAAATATTTTGTACCCACCTAACATCTAAACTGTTGATGGCTTGATCCCTTTTAATCTAATGGTTGTTGTTAATCTGAGAGTGGGCCCGTAGTAAGATCTTACACGTTAGTTTGCGATTCTTGCCTAGCAGGCATATTAAAGTATGTGTACATAGATGACGAAGCAAAGTAATCGAACGGTGAAGAATGCGACAAGCAAGAGTAGGGGCTCAACGTGTTGCTCCAGCGACCCATGAGCCCCAGGGCGAAGGGGTAGAGATGCACCACCACGTACGCGTTGAACGCCAAAGCGAACACCGCCATTGGGCTGTCCCTCCACGACCCCCCTTCCATCGCTGCAACCATGGACGTCAGGTTCACCGCTAGCACCACTGCCGTCGGGACCATCAGCACCGTCCACCTCACGGCGTAGAGCTAGCTCTGCGAACCTGTCTTTCACACTTGCAATAGTGCTCGTCGCACGCTGCTTGGACGTCAGCTTGAACAATATCTCCTTCCCTGCCGCGACCTTGAGCGCCACCTGCACCGCCGCAGCCAGGTATGCACTCGTGGCAGACACCATACAGAACTGCTGGTTTCGCCACCAGTCGACCAACGCTATGCCGGACCACCTGGCCTCCAGGACGGCCACCACCACGAGCGTCAGCATCAGAGCCGCCACAAAGGTGATGTACGTGGCAGACGGTGGCCTGATGATTATTGAGAAGAAGGCGCCGCCGGTGGTGGCGCCGTTCCCAGTCACGAGCTGGATCGCCGGGAAGAGGCCGCAGTAGGCTATGAGAAACATGGAGGTGAACGGGTACACCGTGGTGTTGAGGTACGCCAGGCCCTGCAGCGGGTGGAGCCAGCCGCCGGCGAGGAGGGCGTTGTTGCGGGAGAAGAGTATCTCATGGGAGACCACTGCCCAGCGGAGCACCTGGTACAGCCGGTCTGTGAGGTTGATGGGAGCCGTGCCGCGGAACGCGTCCGGCGCGGTGGCGCAGAGTAGGCGGAGCGCCACCCTCGCCGGTGCATGCAGAAGCACGTGGCCACGTCCTCTGTCATGGTGCCGTACATCCAGCCAAGGTTTTTATTTATCGGGAATTAAAATTTATCGGGGATCACAGATAAAGAGGATAAACATGATATATCGAAAATATCGGACCAAATTCAAATAAAATTTAATTTGAATTTAAGTAAATTTAAATAAATTTAAATAAATTTTGTACGAAAAAGATAGATATTTTCTTATCGGCACCTACGGATAAAAATAATATATCGAAAATATCAGGAGATTTCGTCCCTTGCCAGCTCCGGCCACGCCCTTCCCTTATAGTCACCCCTCCTCGCCTTGACGCTGCCATTACTGGCGCCGGGGCTGAAGTAGGCCTTTGGGTTCCTCGGCTCCACCGCGTGCTTCCGGCAGAACGGCACCCACAGTCCAGCGAACCGGGCAGCCTCGGCGACCGCGTCGCGTGTGAGCAGAGCGCCACCGTCGTCCGAGACGTAGCACGTGAGTTTTTCTGCGGGGTAGTCCGCCGCGAGGATGGAGAGGATGGTGTTCACGGTCACCAGCGGTGGCTCCTTCTCGGTGTCGACGGTGGTCACGAATACATCATCGACTCATCGAGCGCCCTGACGTAGACGGTGCGCCGGACAGGCTGCATCTTGGGCAGCTGGTCCAGCACCGACATCAAGGCGAACCAGAGCTCCCCGGCGATGGACACCATCCACATGCCAAGAACTGTACTTTTGTCGCCGGTGCCTGTGGAGCTAATCATGGCAAGAGCAGCGCTGATTCGCCACTTGAACAACAGCACGAAGATGCCCATCCGGACGATATTATCATGAGCCTACAAACACCATGCATGGTTTTCGCCACTTATTAGTTGCCTATTTTGTCACATGGATTTTAGTAATATTTACACATAATAACTTATATTATTAACTACCTTATCTACTTGTTTTCATAAGAACCAGTTTGATAGTCGTTTTAAAAGAACCCTTTTGATAATTTACAGTGCGTGAAATGCTACATTATCTATTACTCCCTCCGTTTCAAATCGTAAACTATTCTACTTTTTTTAAGATACATAGTTTTTCCTATGTATCTAGATATAATGTATATTATATATGTATGCAGCAAGAGTAGGATGTGTATGCTTAATTACTTATTCTAAAATTCATTGTTACTTGATAGAAGAATAAGATGTGTACGTTAAATTTTTTTGTTGACAGGCACGCCAGTAAAAGCTCTACAAACGTTGGATTATTCAATTTCAAAGCTAAAGGCTAAAAGTTTTGTGGGCCCTGCTTGCTGGCTGGACTAAACTGCGCGAGATCTCTCCGGATAGATTACTGGTGGGGGCGAGTGCATGCGTATGTGTATGCGATTGTCAACTCCCTTAACCTTCCGCCGTTATTTCTTGGCATCTTGACAACACTTGTTATCAAAGCTGTCAAGTTACGGCGTGGACGCCATGCCTAGTCGCTATTTGGTGAACTGCGCTATTTGGTGAACTCATGATTCTTTTTGACCAACTTGTATTGTTTGAGGTACGTATTTTGAGATACACGAACGGATGCATACATGCACATGCACGTTCATGTAGCTGGCTGCCTAGCTGCTAGGTTGCTTTCTTTAATTTTGTACTTATATACATTAGTTATCGGAATTTTTGTTGTTGTTTAGTTATTAATATATAATTTTGTCATTATTTGACTATAGAAAATTATAAATTATCTCTTGTGATTGTTCTTTTAATTGTACTACTAGTTCTTTGTATAAGATTGTCGTCTAAAATCACGTGAAAATTCAGGCACAACAAACATAACAACTTTCTAGCTTTTTTTTATTGGCCTTGCTTATAACAACTCCCTTAATTTTTGTCTCCTTGCTTACCTAAAAGGATCACATACTTCTTTTTTTCATTTTTCATTTTTCTATTTCAACGTGCTTCTTTAATAGCATGATACCTTGTATTAAAGAAGCACCCATGGTTTCGTATGAAGAATCTTGTATAAAATTTCATCAAACAAGAGTTTTGTACAAATCTCATCCATATTGTAATTTAAAAATCTCATTAGTTTCTTGAAGTGCATGTTATAGTGTTAGAAAGTAAAATGTTTATTGCATTCATTTCCAATTTTAAGATAAAATGGTGAGAATTTGATAACTAATTGAGACCCTCAAAAAATGCTAAATAATCACGACACATAATTTTTTGCCTGATTTGAAATTAAATAATTCAATAGGTATATAAAGCTTATTAAGTTATTAGTGTGAATTTAAGCAAAATAGAACGTACACATGGTGTAACTTTGCCTAGTTTGACCAAATTTTAGAATTGTTTAATAATTTATTTTAATGGTAAAAAAGTTATTCCATCCATCCTAGAATACAAGGTACTTTAGGAATTTTAGAACAAATTATAAAAACAAATTATAAAGTAAAATAAATGACGCATGTAACCCTATTACCTATAGAGAGATATTGTTCTTATCATATTTGACCTGGTGGTAGATATTAATGGTAGGTATGCATGTAATTGGTACTTTGAGAGAAGTTGATATTTATCTAGAATACCTTATAATTTGGAACAAATTTTGAATACTTCAATGCCTTATATTTTAGAACGGAGGGATTAAGTAGAACGCATTTGTGCACATTATCTACCTACACTACCGGAATCCTCAAATTTACCAAGTGTTTTTATGTATGCCGAGTGTATTCCCTCGGGCACTCGGTGACTAAGTTCTTTGCCGAGTGCTGCGCTAAAAGCACTCGGCAAAAAAACACTCGGCAAAATAGGGGGTTTGCCGAGTGTAAAAAAAACACTGTGCTGTCGCTCGATGATGCTGCAGGGGGCGCCGCTGTGCTGCCGCTCTCCCCCAGGACGCCGTGCGCGCCTCTCGCGGAGGCCCAGCGGGCTCGACGCCGGCCAGCACAACCGCTCCACGTTGATATGCATGCAGATATTGTGTAATAAGAGTGTTTTGTATGGCAGCTATTAAACTGAAATATGTTGAGAAAAAAATATTTTTTTCTTTGGAAAATAGGTTTGCCGAGTGTAATTCCTAAAATCACTCGGCAAACAATAATGGTACGTCGAGAAAAAAATTATTATTTTTCTTTGGAAAATAGATTTGCCAAGTGTAATTTCCAAAAACACTCGGCAAACAATAATTATTTGCCGAGTGTATTTTGGAAAAACACTCGGCAAACCACTTTTTTTTGCCGAGTGTCAAATTTGACACTCACGATAAAAAACACTCGGCAAATAGTTGTTTGCCGACACTGTAGATGCCGTGTGCAGTTTATCGAGTGTTACACTCGGCAAAGCCTTTGCCGAATGTTTTTTTGTCTTTACCGAGTGCCTGTGGCACACGGTAAAGTCACTGTTTCCGTTTCCGGTAGTGCTATCATGAATATACGGGTACTACACCCTGCATGGTGCCATGAGCTTTGGTGCTCTGTATATGCACATCCGTATAAGAACATCTCCACCAGATTTTCTATATATCCAATCTCCTATATCTAAAATGTAGATTTTTAGGAGATAAAGGTGATACAGCAGATCTCTTATTTCATCTCCTATATACCTATAATTTTTAGAAGACCTCGTATTTCTCCTAAATAAAGGAGGCAATTCTCTATCTCTAAAGAAATATAGGAGACAAGTTTTAGGTAATCTGCTATAATAGTGCTATCTTATATCCTAAATTGATTTAAGGTACTCTCTTAAAATAACTTATTGGTGATAAGAGATCTGGTGGAGATGGTATAAGCTTCGGTGTTGTTCCCTATCATGTAAGCGTTGTCGCCAGGCCTTATTACGTATATATCCTTGGTGTTGTGTATATTACATATATTTTTGGTGCTGTGTAAGGGGTGCATTTCTGCAACTAGAATCTCCAGTGGTCCAAATGTGAATTAGGTTTAAAAAATAGATGTTAATATATTTTGAATAAACTTAGCCAAACTTAGACAAATTTGACTTAAGCAAGTCCAAAACTACTTACAATTTGAAACTGATAGAGAATACATGATTTAATTTAACCAAATGTGCCCTGGCTCCCTCGGAGACTTCTATAAATACAGTTTTGATGGAACAATTATTCTGGTCCTCTAATAAAGAAGTATGAAAAGCATGTCCCCTCTATTTCAAATTACTGAAAACAGCTTGTAGTTGTTGATACAAACACCAACATGTTTGAATAAATGTTTACCTATATTATTAGTTACCTGTATAGCTTGACGGTAATTGTTGAAAGTTTTGTGGTCCGGACAAGCAGCAGTCTCTAGACACTGGCCGACTTCACATCTTTCGGCGACTCCTTGTCATTGGAAGTGCCATAGACATTGCTCTTGGTTATATATGTCGTCGACATACTCGCACTACTGGTCAAGCCCTATTGTTCTTGACAAGAAGGACGATGCTGTGTGGAATCACAACCTTATATATGCATGGAGGATTGGGTATTCGCCCACAGTTGCCGATTTCTGATTCTGCGTTAACTTTATTTATACTTGGTGTCATACTTATCCTAGCTAGCCTATTATTACATTTTCTTTTCGGAAATGGTGGCATTATTTTATTCTTATCCCACCAAATTATACAAGAATTTTATATACATGCAACATGCTTAGTTGTCCACCACAAAATGAGCTCATCAACTGATTAAGTTCCATGATGCGCTTCACGGCTGGTAAGTAGGCTTAATACACTCGAGCACTAAATTCCATCGGTTAGTCTCTGGCCACTACTGCACTAAGGTTATTCGTAAGTCCCCGTCACCATGCATGAGTCACAGTTTGGCAGCCATGCACTACTATAAACATAATTTCTAGAGATGGCCGTAGGTGATCACTAAGACGAGCATTTCTGCTGTAGTGGTCTTAGACGGTTGTTCTTTTTCAAATGTTGTCGTCTATATGGAATCCATGTTGTCATTTGTACTGAGTTCCTCTTCACCAAATACATATCTCATTTGGTCATGAGAATAATTTTGTTCTTATGAAGCTGGTAGTGCTAGCACACTACCTGATATGGATCTTATAATTAAGAAGAGATGCAGAGTACAAGCATATCGCGTGACATACCTGCTTGCTTGGAACCCACTGTTGACGATGATCTTGATCAGCATTATCTACTCATAAGGATGATGCATGCAAGCAACTCAATTAGCAATCCACCATCCTTTCAGATACCTAGAGAATAGTAGCAGTGGGCAATCGATCTAGTTGTGACGCAAGTGTCAGTTTAACTTACTATTTTTGAGAGTGCAGTGTGACGTGTGTGCCTTGTGTGTTCTGAGTGAGTAATCCATGTTGTCATTTGTACTGAGTTCCTCTTTACCAAATATATATCTCATTTGGTCATGAGAATAATATGTTCTTATGAAGCTGGTAGTGCTCGCATACTACCTGATATGGATCTTTAATTAATTAAACGATGCAGATCTAGTCTATGCATACTGTAAAGTAATCTGCTGCCCTCCCATGTCTGAACGCGCAGCAGGAGCAGACGCCGAAAGGGCTCCCTGCTGCTGCACTGTAGCCACGGCAGGGGTAGGCGCCAAAGTCAACCCTGCTGTCACATCTAGTCACTGTAGCAGCCTGGCAGCCTGGCATGTCCGTGTACTAGGATTAGATTGGTAGAGTTGTATTTATAACTTTCCACTGCAACTCAGTAAAGTGAGCGAGTTCAGTTTTGTCATCTCCTCTGCAGAGCTCCGACCAACGCTGGTGCTTGTGTTGTGTGTGCGCGCGCTCTGTTCTTACTCCCTTCTTCTACCTCTAGCCATAGTGTGTGGTCGATAACGCCGGTGA